CCAACTTCGTGAGTTTGAACCCCATATCAGGCTCTGCCCTGGCAGCGTGGAACCTACTTGGAATTCTCTCTCTCCCTCTCTGCCTCTCCACAGAGCGCACATGATCTCTCCCTCTCTCAAATAAATAAATAAACATTAAAAAAAAACTTAAAAAAAAGTAGTTAATAGAATACAGCTATTTTCTAAGTCAGACATTTAAAAGAAATTTGCAAATTATTAAAAACTGCGATTCATAGCTCAATAAATCTGTTCTAAAAATAGTTATTTTTCCTTTAAAGAATGTTATTTACATTAATATGCAGTGGACTTATTATTATTCACTTCAAATGAACTGATAACATTAAAAATTTTTCTGTCTTGGGGCACCTGGGTGGCTCAGCCAGTTAAGCGGCCCACTCTTGATTTCAGCTCAGGTCATGATCTCATGCTTCATGAGATCGAGACCCACACTGGGCTCCCACCTGTCAGTGGAGAGCCTGCTTTGGATTCTCTCTCTCCCTGTCTCTGCCCCTACTCTACTTGCTTTCTCTCATACACACACACACTCTCTCTCAAAATAAATAAATAAACATAAAAAAATTTCTGAGGCCACCTGGGTGGCTCAGTTGGTTAAGCATCTGACTTTGGCTTAGGTCATGATATAAGTTCAAGCCCCGCATCAGGCTCTCTGCTGACAGCTCAGAGCCCAAAGCCTGCTTTAGATTCCATGTCTCCTTCTCTCTGCCCCTATCCTACTTGCTCTCTCTCAAGAACACACACGCACTCTCTCTTTCAAAATAAATTAAAAAATAAACATTAAAAAATAATTTTCTGGGACGCCTAGGTGGCTCAGTTGATTAAGCATCTGACTTCGGCTCAGGTCATGATCTCATTGTTCACAAGTTTGAGCCTTGCATCGAGCTCTGTGCTGACAGCTCAGAGCCTGGAGCCTGCTTCAGATTCTGTCTCCCTCCTTCTCTGCCCCTCCCCCACTCACATTCTGTCTCTCTCTTTCTCAAAAATAAAATAAAACATAAAAATTTAAAAATCTGAGGAAAATTTACAAATATATCAACATATATAACCCATATAAAGTTCTTCAGAGTCCTCAATAATTTTTAAGTATAGTGGGGTTCTGAGAACAGGAAGTTTGACAAATGCTGCCACAGAGAATCAAAGTCAAAAATTGTTCTTTGAAAACACGTTAAAAAAAAGTAGAAACAACTGGCAAGAGTGATCAAAAACATTTTAAAAGAGAAGGCATAAATATGTTAAAAATCAAAAAGAAAATATCACCAAAGATCTGAGGATATTAGAAAAATAAGATTATTTCATGAACTTTATGCCAATAAATATGAAATTCAGTAAATGCTAAAAAGCACAATTTACCAAATTAGGCAACTCATAAAATATAGAAGTTACTAATTGTCCTATAACCAATAAAGAAATTGAGTTAGTAAACAAAAGCCTTCTCACAAAGAAAACTCCAGATCCAGATGGTTTTTCTAAAGAATTACACCATTTAAGAAACAGTAGCTCTATCATGCAAATTATTCCAGATCAGAAAAAAGAAAATTCTCCAGCTCATTTTATAAAGCCAACATAACCTCAAAATAAAACCCAGACAAATGCATTATAAGAAAGGAAAATTAAAGATCAATTACACTCAAGAACAAAGACATAAAAATCTTGATCAAAATTTTAACAAACTAAATACAGCAATTTTTTAAGAGACCAGGACCAAACCAAAGCAAACCAAAGACCATTACCAAGTAGGACATGAAAAAGTAGGTTAATTACAAGAAGGCAAGATTTACTACACATTAAAAAGTAAATCAATGTAATTTACCACATTAACAGATTAAAGAAGAAAAAAACTTATGACCATCTCATTAGATGCAATAAAATTATTTAATAAAATATAACATCCATTCAAGATATAACTCACTTAGTACAACAGAAACAGAAGGGAACTTCCTTAATCTGATAATAGGCATCTACAAAAAACTACAGCAAACATCATACTTAATGGTCAAACAGTGAAAGCTTTCCCTTTGTGATCAGGAACAAGATAAGGATGTCCTCTATCACCACTTCTATTCGGGAAGGTAGTGGAGGTCCTAGCCAGAGAAGTAAGGCAAGAGAAAGAAATAAAAGGTGTAAGGATTGGCAAGAAAGAAACAAAACTCATTATTCACAAATATGTTCGTGAATATAGAAAACAGAAGGTATCTACAGAAAAACTGTTAGAAATAAGAACTGAACAAGACTGTGCAATTCAGTATCAATTGCATTTCCATGTAAATAGCAAATGCAGTTAGAAAATAAAACTTAAAAAACAAAGACTCTTAAAATAGCCTCAAAAAATATGAAATGCCTGGCAGTAAGTCCAATGAGAGATATGCAAATCCTCTGCAGAGAAAATCATAAAACTCCACTGAAAGACATTTGAAGGACAAAAAATGAAATTACATGCAATGATCATGATTTGAAAGCCTCAATACTGTAAAGATATAAATTCTCCCCAAATTAATTTAGAGTTCAGGTAATCTCAATGAAAATCACAACAGGATTATGTCGGACATGTTGATGTTTAAGCATATAGGAAAATACAAAGGACCAACAGCCAAGATATTCTTGAAAAACGTAAGGAGTAAGAACTTCTCTAACATACATCAAGATTTATTAGACGATGACAAGTGTGACAAGATAGTGGAATTTATAAAAACAGACCAATGGGACAGAATAGAGATCAGAGACCCACACATATATGGACACCTGATATATGTTAAAGGTTGCATGACAAAACAGAAAAGTTATTTTGTTTTATTTTCTAATAGATAATGCTGAGACAGAGATCTATCCAAATAGAAACAAATGAAATGGAACCCACTCCTCATACCATTCACAAAAATAAATTCTAGCTAGCTGACAATCAAGTTCATAATAATAATCACATAAATTATTTCAGATTCAAAAAGAAAGTTATTGATTATATATGGCTAGTGGGATATATTTTGAGGATATGCATCTTATTGTTAGTGACAACCTTGATATTGTTATGCTGAAAGTACTTAGTGTAATAGTATAAATAACTCTAATAATATCATTAAGGTACCAAAAGTTTTAGAATAAGACAGAAAATACATAAAATCAAAGCTAACTAAAAAACCCTTCCTGAAGGGAAATATCACTAATTTAATACTTTATTTCTTTTTCTAAAAATGTGTTTACTAATTTTGTCCACCAAAAATATCTAGAAATGAAAACCCAGTAATAATGAATGCCCCAAACATCCACAAATTGTGGTCTTTAAATATCAGTTCCCGTTGAAAAAATATTGCTTGAAAAAACAGCTGAGGCAGAATAGCTTTGGGGCAGAAAATAGAGTCAGCCTGATAGCTTTCCCAATTCCTAACAGTAAAGAAGCTCTACAAGAAGACTGGAATATGTCAGAATGACACAGTAGCCAGATGACGAGGCTGTCACGGACCAAAGATGAGATAACTTGAAGTGTCATAAAGAATGGCTGCAATGGACTTAAACCCATTAAAAATATAAAAACCTGTATGTTTAGATGACAATAATTTAAAAAAATCACTGGTCACTTTCACAGATTGCTGGGGGCCAACTGGTTATTCTCAAAATTGATAAGAGGATAGAAATCAGCCTATATCATGATTCTCACATAGGGACTATCACAGGATAATCAAATACTTGAAAAAAGGAAGTTTATCTTTTTAAAAGAAGTACAGATAATAAATGCAAGAGGAATTGTACAATTAGAAATTCATCATTCTGTGATCCCAAAATGAAGTAACTGATCTGGTCAACAAGTATCAATGACAGCTAAAACCATTAAGACAATAGTTGCTGGAGAACTTTTTTTAAAAATTTTTTTTTTAAATTTATTTCTGGGAGGGCGGGAGAGAGAGAGAAAGAGAGAGAGAGAGAGACGGCATGAGCAGGGAAGAGTCAGAGAGAGAGGCAGACACAGAACCTGAAACAGGCTCCAGGCTCTGATCTAGCTGTCACCACAGAGCCCGACGCGGGGCTCGAACCCACCAACCGTGAGATCATGACCTGAGCCGAAGTCAGACGCTTAACCGACTGAGCCACCCAGGAGCCCCGATGGAGAACTTCATAACAGATTGATCAGGCTATACTCATCGACCAATCTTAACATTACTAAAAACAGAACAGCCAAGTGTTCCTCCTGATGTGACACAATAGGCAGTAACATAGCACCATCAATGAAATATTCCTAACACAAAACTAAACCTAACTCTAACCAAGCCTCCCTACCCATTTTCAGCTTATAGGAAATAAGAGATGAAATGGAAGAACATGTTAAGGGACCAGGAGGACACTATCAGCCAAATCCAGAATGTGAGAAACTACAAAATATATGACCCAGTTTCTTCAATAAATAAATGGAGAATAGAAAAGATAAACTGATATAGATTAAAAGAGACTCAAGACACATATCAAACCAACGTAATGTGTGGACCTTGTCTGGATTCTGCGGCAAACAATCATTAAAACATTTGGATCTTTTTAAGATAATTAGTGAAACTTGAAGATAGCCTGGGTATGATAAGACATTAAGGAATTTGGGTTAATTGTGTTGGGTGGAACAAGGGTTCCTCTCCGTCAGGGGTGCTAACCACCTAACCAAGATGCCTGGGATCTGCTTTGAAACACTACAGACTTATTCATAAATTATTTGTGCAATTACAAATTAAAATAAATTAATTAATTTATTTCAGGCAAGTGGGTATGTGGGTGAATGGATGGATGGATATAACTTTTTCAGGGAAGGAATCAATTCTAGGTGAATTAATATAAATTAAATATGAAGGCAAAACAATAAAGCTTTTAGAACAAATAGAAAAATACCTTCATGTTCTCAGAAGGCAGGATTTACTAAACAATACTTAAAAATCACTAAACAAAAATGTGTCATACTATACATAACTCTATAAAGATAGTCTACTTTACACTATTTTAAAGGTACTTACTGCTGGTAAAAGAGACTGCATATTTTGATTAGAATCTGCTATTGTAGCAAGGTAGACCAAGTTCGTATGCAACATCTGCTGATACCTATTAAAACAAAACAAATATCAATATCAAAAATAATTTTCTTCCATCTTCCTAAATACAAATAGCATTCTAATTGTTTCTCAAGTTTAATAAAGATTTATGTTACCTGAACATCAATAGCACTTCAATTTTTTTCTAGCTCCTCTGCAAAATAATTCCAAATAATAAATACATTCAAAGATAATAATAAACACCGATCTCACCATTTGCCAGATATCGTTATAGTTGTCTTATATACCTATATATCTTTTCTAGTCCTCAGACCAACACTATGAGGTAAAAGTTCATATTTTCTCCATTTTACAGATGAGGCAACTGAGGTTTTTTTGTTTTTTAATTTTATACTTTATTTTTGAGACAGAGAGAGACAGAGCATGAGAAGGGGAGGGTCAGAGAGAGAGGGAGACACAGAATGTGAAACAGGCTTCAGGCTCTGAGCTAGCTGTCAGCACAGAGCCCGACGCGGGGCTCAAACCCACAAACTGTGAGATCATGACCTGAGCCGAAGCCGGGCACTCAACCGACTGAGCCACCCAGGCGCCCCAGAGGTAACTGAGTTTTAGAAAGGTTAGTTAACATGTACAATACTGCACAGCTTAGCAACTGGGATTACTGAGAAATGTACTGGCTCTATATATAGTATATGTGCTTTTAAAAAAGAGACCTAGAGGGACACCTGGGTGGCTCAGTCAGTTAAGCGTCTGACTTCGGCTCAGGTCATGATCTCATAGTTTGTGGGTTCAAGCCCTGCATTGGGCTCTGTGCTGACAGCTAACTCAGAGCCTGAAGCCTGCTTCCGATTATGTATCTACTTCTCTCTCTGACCCTCCCCTGCTCATGCTGTCTCTCTTTCTCAGAAATTAAAAAAAAAAAAGAGAGAGAGAGAGAGAGACCTAGAATGAAGGAATTCAACAAAACTGGTATGTTTATTCCCTTCCCTCTGACATTTTCATGTTGCCAAGAACTTCAAATCCAAGTACAGGCAACATGCTCTGCTAAAAATGTCAGCAAGGAGGTAGGAACCACACAATTTTTCCTTCTCCTGAAACAGCGACCAACAAGGTATGCCTGCCACAGTTATACTGCCCATCTACTGGGGCTCAGCATATAGAGAAGACAATGAACAGGTGTCTTCAATTACATATGTATATAAATAGGCAAAATAATAGGGCACTAATATCATTAAGAATTTACTTTAAAAAATAGAGCAAATTCTCACTACTGCAATGAAGTGGGTAAACTTGTTCACTGTGATCTTATGAACTGGTTTCGCTAACCCTCTGCAAATTAGTAGTGATGCAGTTACTAGTGTTTTGTCAACCCTCCAAATACAAGCTTAAATTCTATACCAAATTGTTAGGCTGTTTTAGAATTCTGTTTACTGAGAAACATTAAATACAAATGAAAATAATGAAAATAAAAGAACTTTATTCACCTAAACAAAGTCTTCGAATACAAATCCCAAATGAAGTCATTCTCTAGACACTATATAAGGAATCCTCGTAAAGTTTCTGCTGCATTATTTTGTTTCTATTAGAACTGGTTTCATTACTTTTTTCTTATTAGAGAAAAAAAAAAAACCTTATTTCTCAATCATCTTAAATTTTCCTAAGAAGTGTATGCTCTTTTTTTTTTTTTACAGGTTTACTGAAGTATAACTAGTATACAAAGAACCACACATATTTAATTTGTACAATTAGATGAGTTTGGGCGTATACAAACACCTGTGATTACCATCACCACAAATCAAGGTAATACACATACCCAACACTTCCCAAAGTTTGTTTCCTTTTGTTTTTGTTATTGTTTTTTAAAAACAAGTCTAGGCTGTTAATGCTCCTCCTCACATATTACACTATGTTGCTCAATCAGAAATCATATGTTTGTACAGTGATGTTTATATTTAAAAAGGACCAGAAATGATTAAATTGTATTGATCTATTCATAATGGTTAATTATGTTGTCAAAATTCTCCAAACAGCACTAACAGGCACCACTAGCTGAAACTACTTCATTATTCCGTAGAGATCTTGAATGCAACTTAAGATACAGGGTTCCAAAATCTTGCCATTTTTTAATTAGAACATATAACCCATTTTAAAATCTACTCCTTGAAGTTTTTCTTTTCTTCTCTGAGTATTAATATGGCTTAAATATATACAGATAAGAGATTTGCTGACCACCCTGAAAAAGTAAAAATAACAAACCTTACTAAGAGACTATGGTTTCCTCTCTGACCCTTTAAGAAAAATTTTAGTCATGCTGATTAGTACTTAACAAGTCAATGTTAAAATACTGTTAAATCTAATCTGCCAAGGTCTTAAAGCCTCATTTGTAACATAATGAGAGTTAAAGTACATCTCCAAAGTCCCTTGTGGTTCTAAACATCTATAAATAGAGCATCATTTATGGAGTACTTTAAGACATTTCCCCAAACCTAAATCTTTGTAACTTTTAATTCTGATAATTTTAAACTTACTGTTTTAAGGACAGTATAAAGAACTCCCAAATATCTTTCTCCCACATTCCCCAATCACTGGCATTTCACATGTCTTAGTCCATCTCTAAACACAAACACACCAATATAAGCACATATGCAAGCACACACACACACTTTTTTCAAAACCTTTTGAGAGTCAGTTACAAACATAATATCCCATTACTTATAACACATCAGTGTCAATTTCCCCCAAACAAGGAAATTCTCATATACAATCACAGTACAATAAACCAATGTTCATACAATAATACCATCTAATCCACAGAACCCATTCAAATTACTCCAATTGTCCCAATAGGCCTAAATCTTCTTACCTAATGTAAGATATCTTACCTAACTTCAGTAGGTTTTCTTTGTTGTAAAACTGCATTATTTTTACACCATTCAACAAATAAGCTCTTTCTAAGATCATTTAAGACTCAAAGATGAATAGTAATGAAAAGGTAGTATATATACATATTTTCTTACAAGTTTGTGTATGTCACCCAAAAAGTAATAAATAAATATTCCAAAGAATTTGGCTTCAGCTGACCCCAATGAAAGGATAATAAAAAGTAGATTCTTCTATAAATATTAAAGAAACATTTTCCTAAGAAATTTTACAAATACTATTACACTTATCACTGAAGTAGTATACGTTTTTAATGTGCATGCTTATTATCTCTGAAATAGTCTATGTTAACAAAAGAAAACTGAGTGGATAATGATAAGGGCAGATAAAAACATTTCAACATTTTACGCTTGATGATGGTAACTTCCTACTAAATACTCGCAGATATTACAATACACCCATAATTATTAACCTATTACATGAGAGGCAGTTGCACTTTCCAAAGATTCCACTAAGAACCACTCCATCAATTATCTTGAATAACATAAAATAACCACTGTTAAATTTATTTATGTAACTAAAAACCTGAAAAAGTCAGATCTTACTTTTAACAATAAACCTTTACCAAGAAGCTATGAAGATTGTATTTATAAGACAATAGAAATATAATTTACAGAATAAAAGTTACCTTCATTACTGGAGATTTAAAACTAAGTCCTTTTATATAATGATTAATACAAAATTTTTGCATGAAAACCACTTACAGGACCCTCTGAGAGTTGCACCCATAATAAAATACAAAAAAAATAAGGGCTGATTTAAGTAAATATATAAGTTGATTTAAAAAATGCTCGAATCAAACACTACCATATAGAGCAATAATACATTTAATACATTCTCACACATGTTATCAGAATTTAAAGGGAAGAGGATCTGTGCATGCAAGCTCCATAAGTGATTTCCTAACTTTATTGAGTGTACCAGGACTGTGTGTGTACGTAGATAAGGAAAGATACAGCAATATATACAAAGATGTTACTAGTGAAAAATCTTTAGGTGGTGAGAATACAGTGTTTGATATCTCATTTTTATGTTATCTGTGTTTTTTAATTTTCTACAATTCACATGCTGCTTTCATAAAAATAAAGTTATTTTATATTTAAAAAAGTTTGAAGCAAAGTTATCACATCTTAAGGGACTGTTTAATTAAAACTGAGCTATCAATTCCCAGATGCCTGTCATTTATTCATTTCCTCTTCATTTTCCTTTTCTTTCTCCTAATGCAAGAAAAAAATACCTCAGGTTGAAAGAAGGAATTTTTTTTTCTCTTCACTCACAAAACAACACTAACAAATTGAAAAAGAAAGACTATCTAAGGAACTCTAAGAATGAAATTAAATCTATCAGGAAAAGCAAAGTGTTAAAACTATTTAAATCAATTTAAGCCCCATCTGCACAAAACATGTGAGAAAACGAGGTCTATTCCGGGGCACCTGGGTGGCTCAGTCGGTTGAACGTCCGACTTCGGCTCAGGTCATGATCTCGCAGTTCATGGGTTAGAACCCCGCATCGGGCTCTGTGCTGACAGCTAACTCAGAGCTTGGAGCCTGTTTCACATTCTGTGTCTCCCTCTCTCTCTGACCCTCCCCTGCTCACACTCTCTCTCTCTCTCAGAAATAAATTTTAAAAATATTAAAACATTTTTTAAAAAAGAAAATGAGGTCTATTCCAATATGCAAACAAGGGGGAAATAATCATATACACACAAAAAAGCTGAGCACATAAAGAATAAAACAGTATAAAAAAAAGAATAAAACAGTATAAACTTTTGCTGACTCAAGTTTGACAAGTTGATTCTAGATCTGAACACTCCCATCCATGCCATGTATTGCTGAGTCCTTCAAGAAACTCAATCAGCCCTATGCCACAAAATCCCGTAGCTAGGTCTGGCAGTTTAGAAAGCCATAGGTGAAAATAAGTATTCTAATCAGAGCCTGTCAACTTTTATTATCCCATGGCTGATCTAAGATAGTGATCTCCTTACTACTGATTACTATCCATACTTAAACTAAGGAAATAGATCAGCTAATTATTTTTTAAACACTATTTTAAAATAAGGGTGCTTGGCTAGCTCAGTCAGGAGAGCATGTGACCCTTGATCTCAGAGTTATAGGTTTGAGCCTCACATTGTGTGTAGAGATTAATTAAAAATAAAATCTTTAAAAAAAGAATATTTGGAAATATAAACAGATATGATTCATTGAAGAAATAATATACATAAAATAACGGAAATAGTCATATAAAACGCAAAATATACAAGTGACTAGAAGGTAAAATATCCTAGTTCTCAGACTTAAGTTTCTAAATATCATTCTCTAAAAAAGAATCAGGGCTTTGAAGAAATGGGTGATTCCAAACTGGGACAGGAAGAAGTACAAGATGAGCCTAGAACATTTTCCGGTGCAAAAAATTAAGAAAATGCTCAAAAAATAATGGATGCATATGAAAAAGCCATCTTGAAGGGCTCCAGTGGCCAACATTAGAAACAATTTAAGAAAGAAAATAGAATAATATATAACCTAAAGAACACAGTTAAGAATCCATAAGTCCATTCAGATATAAATGAATGAATGGGGGCAGAAAACAAATTTTTTCCTTAGAATGGGATTTCAAATAAATGTGGAAGGCAGGATGGATTTAGACACTATCTGCAACCACTACAGTAACAACTGTTTCACTCAAGAATCATCGGATGGTGGGTGCTAAAAGTAATGTGTGACAAAAGGAGAAGAAAAAAAGAGAAAGTACAAAAGAGCTTTTGTATGTCTCAAGGTATCTCCCCAACAAGATACACATATGAAATATAAAGAAAAAATAACTTCACAGTGGAGAAATTGACATCACCTTAACTGATTAAAATTCTCAAATACTGGGCGGAAATTCTTACTTTCACACAGCTATTTGAGAATGCCCTGAGAAGGACACAACAACGTTTTCGTGATGCACTTGCCAAAAGTATACAACATGAATCTAATCAAGGGAAACACCAGTCAAACCCAAAATGAGGGACATTCCACGAAATAACTGCTATGTCCTCTTCAACAACATCAATAACATGAACAATAACAGACTGAAGACTGGTTCCAGATCAAAAATATACTTAAGGCATGAGACAATAATATGCAATATCTGATCCTGCACTGGATCCTAGACCTAAAAAATATATACTAATGAGACAACTGGCAAAATTTTAAACAGGCCTGAAGTTTAGATAATAGTATTGGATTCTTAATTTTAACAACTATACTCTCATTATTTAAGAATTTGGGCCTGTTTTCATGAAATACACACTGAGGTAGTTAAAGGTAAGGGAGATTCATGGCTGCAATTTATTCTTAAATGTTTCAGAGAAACAATATGGAGAAGAAATGAATGCTATGGGGAAAAAGTGAGTAAAAAAGCAAGATGTTAACATTTAAGGAATTTCAGGGAAGGGCATACAAGAATTTCTTATGCTATTTTTAAAACTTTTTTGTAAGAATTAAATTATTTCAAAATAAAAACTTTTAGAAAAAGATACCACTTTTCACCCATCAGATGTGCAAAATGTTTTGCAAGATGACTAATACTCAATGCTGGCAGAGGGTGTTGAAAACCAAGGCTCTGAAACCGGGCTAGGAGAAAGCAAACTAGTACAATCTTTTTTTGTGGGGTAATTTGGCAATTTTGTATGGTCTTTGACCCAGCCATTCCATTTATAAAATTCTAACCCATTAAAAATTGGGCATTTTGTGTAAATGCATAAAAAATGTTTGGAAGGACAGGAACTAAACCATTAAAAGTAGTTACCTCTATGGAAAGGAGAGAAGCCTAAGAGTAAAAAGTAAAATGTGACTTGCTTTAACCTCTACAGACTTATACCTTATGATATGCTTTATACAATGACTTTCTACATGACTTTTCACTGCAAAAATAATTTTAAGCAAAAACAAAAAAGACAAAGTAACCACAAGAAACTCAAAATTAGATAAAGTATGAATCAAGTGATAGCAAAAGTCCAGCATAAGGAAGGCCTATGTGGAGCCAAATCAGGGTTGTTGGGAAAATCTACTTGAGAACAGACCAGGGGGATCTCTAGGAAAGACAGATGTGTCACAAAACTATGGTGTGAATAAAATATTCTAGAGCTGTGTTGTCCAATAAGTAGCCAGTAGGTAGAATGAAATGTGGCTGGTTCAAAATGACGTGCTTTTAGAGTAAGATTTACAAGAGATTTCAAAGACTAGATATGAAACAAAAGAACGTAAACTATCTCAATATATGCTGGGGCCTCTGGGTGGCTCAGTTGGTTAAGTGCACAACTCCCGATTTTGGCTCAGGTCATGATCTCAGTTTGTGAGCTCAGGCCCTGCGTCAGGCTCTGCACTGATACTGCAAAGCTTGCTTGGGATTCTTGCTCTCCCTCTCTCTCTACACATCCCCTGCTCATGCTCTCTTGCTCTCTCTCAAAATAAACAAACTTAAAAAAAAAATAATAACAATATATTTATACTGATTATGTTTTGAATATGATACTGATTATGTATCAAAGTGGTATTATTTTGGAAATAACAGGTTACGTAAAATACGTTATTAAAATTACATTCTCTTGTTTCTTTTTACTTGTTTAATGTGTCTTACCAACAAATATAAAATTGCATTTGTGGTTTGCAATACATTTCTACTGGAGAGTGGTATTCTAGAGACTTTTGATAAAATACTCAGCTCACTCTACTACATCAGATTCTATTAAGAATATCATTTATTTCCAACACATCATTTCAAAATAACAAGTTTGGTTCTTATGAATGATAACCAATTCTCTATTTGCTTTCTTAACCACATATATGGATGTAACTAAATAATCAATATATGTGAAGATCTAACGTTTCCACACATCAAGCAACACACAAATTTGAAGTCATTATTTTACAATGCAAGGTAAGTTTTTTTTTTAGTTTTTTTAATGTTTTATTTATTTCTGAGAAGAGTGAGAGAGACAGAGACACAGCGTGAGCAGGGGAGGGTCAGAGACAGAGGGAGATGCAGAATCTGAAACAGGCTCCAGGCTCTGAGCTGGCTGTCAGCACAGAGCCCGAGATGGGGCTTGAACCCACGAACCGTGAGATCATGACCTGAGCTGCAGTCGGACGCTCAGCTGACTGGGCCACCCAGGCGCCCCAAGATAAGTTTAAAAAAAGAAAAAAAGATACCCACTGCATCCCAAAGAACAAATTTTTCTTTTGTAAGAATCAGGAAGTCATAAAAATGTATACACTAATGTTAATAGAAGCATTATTCATAATAGCCAAGAAATGAAAACCCAAATGTCCACTATAGTTGGTTAAATAAAATATGGTATAACCATACAATGAACAATTATTCAGTAATAGGAAGTATTAATGTATACTTCAACATGGATGAATCTAGAAAAATATTATGCTAAGTAAAAGAACTCAGTCAAAAAAGGCCGTATGTTGTATATATCCATTAAATAAAATGTTCACAATAGGTAAATCTACACAGACAGAAGCAGATTAGTGGTTGTCAAGGGGTGAGAGATTAGGTAAGAATGGAGGGTAACTGCTAATGGGTATAGGATTCTTTTGGAGATGATGAAAATGCTCTAAAATAGACTGAAGTGATGATAATACAATTCTATGAATACACTAAAAGCTTTGAATTGTACACTTTAAAACTGTTGAATTACATGGAATGTGAATTACATCTCAGTAAAGCTGTTATTAAAAAGAAATGCAAAAAATTAACCAAGAAAAATGAACACATAAAATTTTTCATATCATTCTTACTGAGAACACTCTGAAGTCTTTCCTTTATTCTGATAGTCCATTATACACTGAATAAGATGGTTATTTTCATCCAACATCTGAAATGAAATTAGAAAAAGTTTATTGTAAATCTAGTGCATCATGTTAAATTTTTAAAAATCCTTTAGATATCTAGAAATGTTTATTTATAGCAACTGAATCCATTCAGGTCTTTAAATATTCATTCCATACCCCTGGAATGGTACGTTTAGTCAACAATTTTTAAATAACTCTATTCCAATTATTCTCCCTCTGAATTATCTCCTGAAGCCCAGAAGGGGTTTCTTTTGCATTCAAACATTTTATTACCTCAACTACCTGTAACAGAAACTTTAGCCTGTCATGACTAAAAGTTAAGGGTCTAAGTTGACTTTGCATCATTCTTAACGCTTTGCAGTAGTAAAGAAAACTTTGTTCTTATCCTCAATGAATACATGAAATTGTAGCCCATAAAGCTTGAGGAGATAGCTGGCTAATTTCCCTGTCGTATGCAGTATGGTTCTATGATTCTCCAAATATGGAGTAATCAAATATGATAATTTATAAGCATGTATAATATTTACTACAGACTTTATGAGCTTACTTTATAACTAAGCTGTCCCAAAAGTTCAAAAACAAAATGCATTATCAATTTATCATTCTATGGTCTCACAGCAATTCAAAGCGATATTGGCTTTAAGGGTTAAATAATTCATCTAACCAAGGTGGCATTGAGGAAAGAATACTTATATAGCAATGAAAACGCCAGTGAGTTTTAGTGCCAATTTTGCAATCCTCTGCAAAGCACTTATGATTCCAGGGTCTTAGATTATCTTAATGTCAAGGGACAGGAGTAGACGTCCCTCCTGAAGTTGTCCCACATTTCCAAAACTCAAGAAGCATAAAGTATAATGCGAAAATCACTCTCTCAAAAATTTAACGTAGATCTTTCAATTTTAAAAATTCACGTAACATTGTGACTCTCTTCCTTCATATGAACCATAATCTTCACTTGCTAGGAAAAAAAAAAAATACTGACATGCTCTTCCAAAAAGTGTACTTATTTCTTAAATAAAATCACTTAATGTCAAAAAAAAATGTGTCTTTAAAATCCATTAGTCCAGTCTAATGATTTCACAGCACATCTTCTCAGTCGATTCCTCACCCTAACACACTTCACAGTTAGAATATGAGAACACTTTACAGTTAGAATATGTCGTCTCATTTCTAACATCAATCCCTCACACTGTAAAATAAGGCACTTAATTTGGAATCCATTTTCTCTTCTCATCTAAGAATGAAAACTAATTCACCTGCACATCCTGAATTAATCACTAATAAATATCTTAAAATGTATGGAAGAGAAACTCTTTTTGGAAAACCAACCAAGGAACCTCTGGACTTTTTTAGTCCAAAACCAAAAGTAGAAAGTGAATCCCTTCAGAAACCTGTTTCCCTGTATGTACTTGGAGCTGTTTGCCAGGCTGCAGACTTGGCCTAATGCACTGCATGAAAGCACTGCATTTCCAGCACTGACAAGCGGGTGTGTTCATAAAATAAAGCAACAGTTGGGCAAATGTCAAATGCCACACCAGAAAGAACTTGACAGTGAACAGAAGCCCATTAACATAATCTACTGGGCATACATCGGTGCCCTGAGTGGTACGTAAAGTTGATTTTTCTTCAACTTTCGTCCTCATTCCCGTGTATATAACAAAACTGAAATATTTAAGGTAAACTCTTAGACCTAGCAAGTAACTTTCCAAAGTCTGGCTGATTAAATTGAGAATACTGTCTTGCTCACAGGCAACACGGGGTAGCGGACAATAAAGAACCTTTGTGTCCCTAACTGGCAGTAACACAGCAGCGACAGGGGCAGCACTACCCTCTAAAAAGGGACGCACCTCCTCCCCGACTATTTATCACGACTTCGGTAATAGGTCACGATTATCAGACGGTGTCCACCCCTAGACTTCCAAGTTCCATGAGGGCAGGGACCGTGGCTCACCACTGTAGCCTCCGCACCTAGAGTAGGCGCTCAGTGAGTATGTGCTGATGTACACGGATAGGGGGGTGAATCCGAGAGGGAGAGGGAAACTCCGAGGGTCACCCCGAAGTCCAGGGGGCCCTCCTTCGTCCGCCCCTCGGACCCTCGCAGCGTCCCCCCGCCAAGTTCTCCTGCGAGCTCCCCAAGTCGGCCGCACTGCGCGGCGCAGCGGAGGGCGGCGACCCGCGCGCTCCGACTTCCCTTCGGCCTCCCGCGACCCGAGATCGGGTGTGCGCAAAGCAGCCGCGGCGCGCTGGGCGGGGCGACGCCAAAGTAACTCCGGAGCGACGCGCGGGGCCGCGGGGGGCGCCGGCTCCGACAAACAGCCGATCCCCGCGCGGCCGCGGCCGCCGGGCGCACGCGCCCCGCCGCCCGAACGCCGCCCCATCCCTAGAGAAATCCCGCGGCGGTTACTTGGGCTTTTGTGCCTGTAGGAAAGAGTCCAAACGCACGAAGGGCTCCGTGGGAGAACCGGCTGGCCGCCTTCCGCCACCCACTCAGGCACAGCCCGCGGCTCGGGTTCCCACACACGACCGCCTCCCAGCAGGCCCGCCTCCGCCCCTGGCCCGGCCGACTCCCGGGCGGGCCCCCGGCGGCGCTCCCAAGGGCAGGATGGGCTGGCATCTCCGACCCCACAAGGCTTCACCTTCTGAATCGCAGCGGGAGTGATCTCCCCTTTGCCTCGCTGCCTCGGGGCTGCGAACGCAACAGACATGTTGCCGCCGTCACCACTACGGGCAAGTCCCGAGCGCTCCGGGTGAACGGCAAACTGGGGGAGAGACGCCGGCCTCTCGGGCCGAACCACCTCGGGAATGCGGGCAGGGGGGATGCTCCTGCGCCCAACGAAAAGCCGGCCGGCCTGGCCTACACGAGTTACTCTAGCCCGTGGAAGTCCTCCTTCGGCGGGCTCCCGAGGAACCACTGCCTCGGCAGCACTGCCCTGCTCTAGGTAGACCCCTTGTCCTTCCTCCTTTCCTGACAGGTCCCCCCTCCCTCTGGAGCTAGTGGTAGGGCCGCGCCCCAGTCCTCCCTCCGCTTCAGCGATTCAGGAAATGGTCCCGCCGCCGCGGGAGCAGGAGAGGCTGGGGCAGACCCTGTCACAGGAAATGCGAGCGGCCCGAGCCGGCCCGCCCCTTTCGCGCGGGTGCAACTTGCCTCGCTCTTCGGCGCGCCGAAACCCCTCTCCAAGTGCGTTTCGGCGCTCGGCTCTAGATCTGGTTCAGCTTTTCCAAGTTCATCTTCACCCCGCGCCCCCGAGAAAGAAGTGGCCGACCCAGGTTGTCCGGGCACGGTGGAGAGGAAAGGAGGAAGGTCAAGACCCGCAAGTTCGTGCAAACCCGTGGAGCATCTGCCGAGATGCGCAGAGGTGCAAGGTCTAGGTGAACGCGGATTCGCTGGTTTAAACGGCCCGGCTACGCCCCAAAGGCGCACCTCGGACTCCACAGTCTCGCACGCATACACATGCGTGCCTAACAATTTGAAAGTAAACGTGACCCCGAATCGGGAAACGAAGGCTGAGTCTGGTACTCAGGGGCAGTCGGCCAACTTGGCTACAGAGCCAGAGGCGAGTCGTTCGCTTCTTCGGACAAACCCTTAGCAGAAAAGTGCGTTGATTTCGTCTGACTTGGATCTTTGGGATTAAGTTTTGAGATAGGCCACCTTCACTCTTTTACAATTATGTACTTAATGTCTTGTAAATTAGGCCCAAATTGCCAGGCTTCAAATATGGGGGCGGGGGGGGGGGGGGGAAAACCCAAAGGTCTCTAATTATGGCAGGAACACAGGCAAATGTTGGTAATGTGATGGGGGTTGCGGGAGGCAGGTAATTCTGTAAATTTGGACTTCCATATAACACAAAGGAAGTGTTTATGTAAAATGTCACCCAAAGCTAATGCTCAAAAATCAAGCCCTTCCTTTACATAAAAAATAAAATGGAGGAGCACCTGGGTGGCTCTGTCAGTTACGCGTCTGAATTTGGCTCAGATCGTGATCTGACGGGTTCGTGGGTTCTCAGTGATCTGCGCTGACAGCTCAGAGTCTGCAGCCTGCTTCAGACTGTGTCTCCCTTTATTTCTGCCCCTCCCCTGCTTGCACTCTCTCGCTCTCAAAAATAAGTGTTAAGAAAAAAGAAATTTTAAATAAACTGGAAAAAATTAAGGAAAATGCTTATTTTAAAAAATATTTGTTTCAAATATATGCTCTTCTCAAAAGGTCCTAAGTTTCATTAATGAAGCAAACGGGGGTGTATTCTGGGTGCTAGGCTTTATGCCAGGCACCTAGGGTACAACTGAATAACATGGACAATGGAACCTGCCCTCTTGGAGTTGACAGTCTGATAAACTCCAAGGGCTGGCAGAGAAGAGACACATATGTAAATATGTAAACTTCTAAGAAAGACTAGAAGCCAACAAGGGACTGAAAGAAAGATGAGCACACACATGAGTTAGGGTGAGAAGCCTCTTTAAACTGACATCTAAAGGATGAAGACTCAAGCCATCCTAAGAATAAAGGGAAGATAATTTATACACCTACGAATAGTAGATGTTGTCAACAAATTCTTGTCTTTCACTACCCTTAACCTTAAAAACAAAACAAAACAAAAAATCAACACTTACATTTAGACTTACTGTAATCACATCATTGGAAAAACTATTGAATCCAGAAGAGAAACTAATAAGTCTTGTCCACCATCAACACAGTCTGTCCAACACCTGTCTTGATGTTTACACAAAAGTACCTTAAATTGTTAAGAGCAATATTTCGGTAGGAAAAATAAAACCATCCTACTGCTCCATTTATTCCTGGCAGATAGCACCGAAATCTTCACATGAACCTGTGGGAATAGTTGTCTGAATTCCTTCCTTGGTCAGCTCGAATTGGACAAATAGAAAATTCAGGTACCGAGCAGGAAGGCTGTAACTTGGAGGAACTTTCTTACAATTTTGGAGTCTATAACTGTTAAGAGCCTTTAGTTAGGGGAAAGACAGTTTGTGGCACAATCTTGTCTCATTTGATACCATTAGTTTGGGGGAGAGAGAAATCCCAAAGTACAGATTGCGTGATACCAAATTTGAGAGAAAAGGAGAATGAAGAGTAGTTAAGGAGAAAACAGAAAATGAAGATGGGAAGTTGACCCAAAGTCTGAGAAATGACTCTAGGAACTTAAAACTGAGCTATCCAGGCAACCACTTTCCCAACCAGAAAAATCAGTTCCATTATTTAGATTGCTCTTGGCTCAGGCATCTGAAGAAGGAATTGAGGTCATATAACAAAGAAGTGAAAGGTTTTTTTTCTAAGAATAATTCTAATAGGACATATACAGTGGTTTAGAATAAGTAAAATACATGAACTATTCATTCTTGATTATTCATGCCAGTCAATGTAGACACATTTAACAAATGTAAGAAAACTGTCCATGTTTGGGACACCTGGGTGGCTCAGTCAGTCGAGCGTCCGACTTCTGCTCAGATCAGGATCTCATAGCTTATGGGTTCGAGGCCTGCTTCGGGCTCAGTACTGACAGCTCAGAGCCTGGAGCCTGGTTCAGATTCTGTGTCTCCCTCTCTCTCTGCCCCTCCCCTGCTTGCACTCTGTCTCTCTCTCAAAAATAAATAAACATTAAAACATTTTTTCTAATAAAAAATAAAAATTGTCTGATTTTTAAAATATTTCCATTTTTTGTGTTACATGAATTTGTATTCCTCAAATGTATTTCACCAAACTGATAAAATGAAGTGTTCCAAGAATATGCTTAATATTTAGTAAAACTATAATCACAGCATTAAAAATGATCTTAATTCACAAAAAACATACATGTATTGAGATTACTTTCATATAAGCATTTCTTTAATACTTATTATTTTATAATTAACAATATTCATACTATCAAATTTGCTAATATTTGAAGCCCTTTTACTGCCATAAATTCCTTGAACATAGCGGGGGGGGTGGGGGGAGGCAGAGACCAAGCCTGTTTGCTCATAATTGGGCTCAGAGCAAAACCCCTCAGGTAGTATCTTTCAAAATATTTCTGCTCACAGTCTCCGTGGCATTTGATGAGTTATTTTGAATTGTGGCTTCCAGACATTTCAAGACTATAAGAACAGCATATATCTATATAAATATTCATTATTCTAGGCAAAAACAAATCACCTTTCCTAATTCTCCTCAAAACACTACTTTCAATACTCCAGAAAGTTTCATTCAATGTAGACTATAAACAGACTATCCGGAGCACTTCCACATGTTCTTACATTAACAAACACTGAATGAATTAAGGAGTAGCTGAATCAAATGTATTTGGAAGGCTAATGCTATAACAAAGTATTGCTTTTTTAAAACAAGCGCTTATGTGAAGCTCTATTCAATCTTAACTCACTGTGACAAATGCACAGGTTTGGAGTCCCCAGTTCTCCCACCTGTGGCATGTCACTGGACTGGTCATTTCATATTGTGTTCACCTTCCTGAAAAATAATGACCCTATCTAAAAGGCTATTAAAAGTAACAGTGTTTAGGGGCGCTTGGGTGGCTTAGTCAGTTGAGCATCAGACTTCGGCTCAGGTCATCATCTCACAGTACATGGGTTTGAGCCCCGTATTGGGCTCTGTGCTGACAGCTCAAAGCCTGGAGCCTGCTTCTGATTCTGTGTCTCCCTCTCCCCCTCCGCTGCTTGTGCTCTGTCTCAAGAATAAATAAACATTAAAAAAAGAACAGTGTTTAATTATTATTTATTATGCACTGCCACTGTCTAAGTGATTATCTCAGGCTAGATTCTTTCAGACTGTCCCAATTTTAATGGGTGAAATATGTAAAAACACATAGGATATTGTAAATTACTAAACAAGGATAAGATTTGTACTTAATAATCTAATAGAGAAAAATACGTACTTCAAGACAAGAAATGGTCTAAAATACCTAATATCCAGTCTACCCTTAAGAAATTTGGGGGCTAGGGAGATCTTTTTGCCCACAGGTCCTGAGCCCATGCTTTAATTAGCTCCAGACTCCCATCACTCCAAAAGCCCATCAATACTAATGGCAGATATAATTATAAGAAAAATATATGGGGACACCTGGGTGGCTCAGTCAGTCAAGAGTCCAACTTCAGCTCGGATCATGATCTCCCGGTTCATGAGTTTAAGCCCCACATTTGGGTCTATGCTGAAAGCTCAGAGCCTGCAGAATGCTTTGGACTCTGTCTCCCTCTCTCTCTGTCTTACTCCCCACCCCCATCTCTCAAAAATAAATAAAATGTTGAAAGAAAGAAACAAAGAGAGAGAAAGAGAGAAAGAGAGAAAGAAAGAAAGAAAGAAAGAAAGAAAGAAAGAAAGAAAGAAAGAAAGAAAGAAAGAAGGGAGGAAGGAAGGAAGGAAGGAAGAAAGGAGAGTGAGAGAAAGAAAGAAAGAAAGAAAGAAAGAAAGAAAGAAAGAAAGAAAGAAAGATAATAACATAATATTATGATACAGTCCTGCAAACACCATGATTTTAGCTTTCTGGCCTCCAGAATTGTGAAAGAATAAATTTATTATTTTAAGCCACCAGGTTTGTGGTAATTTATTACAGCCATAGTAAACGAATATAGATGCCAAGATACTTTAAAGAAGAAAGAATTGTTTTGAAATAGCTAGATATCTGTGTTTTTTAAAAATGTCCTTTGACCTTTTCCTCACATATACACAAAAGTTAACTTGAAAGAGATTGTAGTCTTAAGTTTTAAAAGTAAAACTATAGGGGCGCATGGATGGCTCAGTTGGTTGGGCATTGAGTGTAGATCATGATCTCAGTGTTTCTGAGTTCAAGCCCCACATCAGGCTCTGTGCTGACAGTGCGGAGCCTGCTTGGGATTCTTTACCTCCCTCTCTCTCTGCCCTTCCCCCTGACTCCGCCCTCTCAAAGTAAATAAATAAACTTTAAAAAACTGTTTTAAAAGTCACACTATAAGGGCGTCTGGGTGGCTCAGTCGGTTGAGCGTCCGACTTTGGCTCAGGTCATGATCTCACGGTTTGTGGGTTCGAGCCCCACGTTGGGCTCTGTGCTG